TGACCTCTCTCCTCCTCATTTCACCGTTTCTCTCTCTTCCTTTCCTAGGCACCGCCCTCTCCTCCAGCTTGGTGTACATCTGGAGCCGCCGCAACCCAGACACTCGACTCAGTTTCCTCGGCATATTGGTCTTCACTGCGCCATATCTTCCATGGGTTTTGATGGCCTTCAGCTTGGTTGTGCACGGCATTGTGCCCAAAGATGAGATTTGTGGCATTGTTGTCGGCCATATCTGGTACTTCTTCAATGACGTCTACCCGTCGCTTCACGGCGGCCATCGCCCCTTGGATCCGCCACGATGGTGGAGGCGAATCTTTGATCCGAGAGCAACAGCTGGAGAGGCACAAAGGACTGATGCGGATAACGTAAACCGTGATTTTGCCGCCGCGGCCGCGCCTGAGGTCCGATGAGTTGCTTGGCATATTGGGCAACATTTTCAGCACCCCAATATTCAGGCAAGACATGCCTCGCACTAGCAACGCATCCAGCGCAGCAACCACCTATATAAGGATTACCTGAGAAGGAATCGGATTAGCTCTGGCTGGATTCAGTGCCCAGGCTCCGGCGAATTGGCTTGCAACAAGTCAGCTGTTTGGTACTCTCCGGTGTGGATAATTAGAGATCACGACATAGCAGGGGCCCGGAGGGCAAGCATACGGCACACCTGGGAAGAAACTCGAGGACGAGGTGCAGTGCACATCTGCACTTGGTCGAGATGGCTCAAGACGGGGGATATCAAACTATGATCGCTCCGCTGTATGAGAACTCAGTGGTGCTCAGTGTAAGCTGGCTTCAAATCCTCTTGTGTATCAACTGGACTACGATTATTTGTGACGAGACATTCTAGCTATAATGGTTGATGATGGTCATATGGGGATCATCCATTGCTTTGTCGAATCGACGCTTCTAGATGTGAATAGAGACAGATCTTAGGATAAACACCACCAATGTAACTTACTGGAGTTGTAGACAAAAATTCAACGAATATCAGCTCCTGCATCGGCCTCAGGCCTCCGCTCTACCTATTACTTAAATCACGACAAGGCATGACTTTTTGGTTTGTTCATTTCGTCATCAACACTCGATGTCGATCAGTGGTCAGTACACTGCAGGTCTGCACGCTTATCTTGGCTGCGGTGGTTCAGTTTAGGTTACGCATCCACCCTCATTTGCAATCAGCCTTTGAATTGCCCAAACGATTTCGTAGTGTGTGGTCCACTTGGGTAGAACGCGTGACTACATCCTTCTGACGCCCAGCTGCACGGACTTCAGCTATCAGAAGACCACAGTGGCCATTGAATGGTCTAGCGAACGTCTTACCATAATAATAATGTATTGATCATCAGACACAAGAGCCTTGCTTCTCTGCGAAACATTGTATCTAATTTATCTTGTTTGAGAGTCAAGGTAGGGCACATTCGATGAGTGACCCACTTTGAGTTTTTGACTGACTTTCACTGATTGCGTGGCAGTTTCGCCCAATGAAAAAGTGCCCTACATGGCCAAGCCTTTACATGCCACGAGTTTTCCAGGTGGTTAGGTGGTTTTCGTCAGAGTTTGAGAATGTTGATTGGCTTGTTCGGTTCTGTGGGTCGGTTAGTCATGGACATTGAACTTTGATTTTCTCACCTTTTTCGTGTGTTTGGTAGAAAATGCCACTTCGAGCCTTTACAGTTCAAGCGCACCAAGGGAAGATCGGTTTAATGGAGTAGAATGCCTTCTGACCTTGAATTGTAAATAGCTGTATGATAAAGGTGGATGGCTGCAAGTCTGGAGGTTGAAGTCTGGAAAATCGAAGTCTGGTAGACCTGCGCAAAAAGCAGATGAGACAAGCCACTGCAGTCACTGCATGGCACTACCCTCACCTTGGATCAACTTTTTTGAGTCTTTGACAGTCTTTCCTAGGCTCGAGATGGTAAACAGTCTAACAGAGCTGTCTCTTGGCTTCATTTGCTGGTATTAATTTGGAAGCCTTGGTCGACGCTCGAGCCGGGGTTTCGACCTCCCTCCTCAACCAAGGCTCGGCATTGCTCCAAGCCTAGGATCGCGAGATGCATGAGGTCTTCTGTGGCGATGTCTGGAATTCGACAATGGAACAGCCCTCCGTTCAGATGATGTAGGCTGTAACAATCAATGGAATGGTTGTCGCCTACTGATGAGGATTTGCTTGGAAGTGTTCCGCTGTCAGCGCCACCTTGACAACGGTATGATCAGAAGACATTGCCGCAAAGGGGATACCAAGGATAGTTTGATGGGAGCGACGCAAATCAGGTCATAAGTTGGGATTGTGAACTGCACTGTGACGTGTGCTGCCGAAGTCTCGCCTTCTTGCTAGTTGTACGCCGCAGCCGAAATGACGGATGCGAAGAAGCGATCTAGAGGCGAGCCTTGTCAATCATCAGATATGCCGAGTAGGTACGGAGTACGGATACGGAGTACGGATACGGAGTTACTGTACTGTGTAGTCCGTACCCCTCAACTTTCCATAATACGACCCAACTGTGGCTTTGCAACTTTCCATAATTCGCCGTTTGCCTACTCTGAGAGAACTTACGTACTCCTTGGCGCGTTCCAACCTATCGGTACCTATCTAGGTAAAGTGGTAATGTCCAAGCCGCAATAGGTCGTACTATTACACCTTACGCCAGCCATACGAACTCTGAGACAAGCTTACTGAAACAGCTCCCTCAACGACATCAAAGGCAGGGCATTTATTGGCAGGTATTTTGGGGCTTGAATACTCCGGTGCCTCGTTCGTACCCAGTGACAGGCTGACAGGCTGACAGCTGGCTTTTATGCTGCGGAAATACAAAATCCTTGTCTGTAACACAAGGCAGTTGACATCGGAGACATGGCTCCGATTGAGGAAGCAAGCCTCGGAATCGATGCTCTTTGGAATATTAATGAGCCTTCTTTTGGCTGAGTTGATCAGGATGGATTCATGGTAGACCTAGATTAAGTCAAAATAATATATACCTATGCCATTACACAATGCACAAGCGGCGATACGAGTACGAGGTACAATTTTGCGCCAGTCTTACAAGCCACTATTGGACATTCCTATCCCCAGCAACTTTGCATTACCATCAGACACCCCATTTATTGGTTCAGTCTATACACGCAGGCGAGGCACAAGAACGAAATCTGTAATCCACACTGAAATGATTTCCGACAAATAAATCGTACGTGTCAATGAAACGGTCCAGGGTAGATATGATCACCTGTTCTGTAGACCCGAGGAAAATCTAAGTGAGGTACATCATCATCCGAATAATATCGCCTTAAAAACAGCAATCGCCGCTTAATCTGTATAGAAGAAAAGCAAGTCCGCTGCTCTTTACATACCAACAAGGCTCTGGACAACTGCGTCAATCCCGCTTAGTTATCATTCCTGTCTCAACAAAAGGCTAACGAAGAAAGCAGAAGCACTAAGGTAATCAGCTAGAATGGCCTAGTTTCAGCGACGAACCTTGTCGCGCCGTTAGTTTCATTGGTGCAAGCTTCTTAAGTATAAACTCGTGTACTGGCCTTTGATCCCTTTTGAACTTACTCTTCCATCAGACCACCTTACCTTCAAGTGGTTTGCATCAGCTCAATGACGATATGCGGATAATAGTCTCAATTTCCTATGTAGGTACCTACCTACCTTACCAGTATTATATCTTACCAGATACTCGCGCGTAGGTATGAAATTAATTCAATGCACTGCCCTGCTCGTCAACGCTGGTAATAAACTAACCCGGTGAAAGTTTGACACTAGACCAGATCAGGGAAGGACTTCGCGGGCTAGATCAAGTAGTGTGGCGGAGGCTTAGCTCTGGCGCAGTGGCTCTCAACTCCAACCTAAAGGCTTCCCCGAATATTCGCAGACCTGCTCCACTGCACTCTAGTATCACGCCCCATCGCCCCCACCTCTCCAGGGACCCTCTCCCCTGAACAGCCCTGGGTCCTTTCTCGTAACCATGGACCGCTGTTAAGGGATGTTGACATGGGCGAATCGAACGACTCGTACACACACGCGGCCACGCCTCCCTTCTTTCTCTCTTTCTTTTGCTCTTGAACTGCCCTCTCTACTTGTCTTTCTCTAGCTTGCTTTGTAGCTACGCATCCTTCGTTCCTTCTCTTCGCTCTCTTAAATCATTTTTTCCACTGTCCTTCTTTTTCCCTTTTTTTTTTTCCTAAACTTTACTCCGTATCTCTATTTTTCCCTTACACCTCTTTTTTTTTATTATTTATTTCCAGTCCAAGAAACTCTAACCTTCCTACATTCATTACCATTATTGATCTACAGGTCCCAAACGTCCTTTAAAGATTATTATTTGCCTAATTTTCCTTCGAATCTATCCTTGACAAAGTTAGCTCTACTTCGTATTATTCGTCGCTTCTTCCCAACGGCCCCAAATTGGCCCCCTCCCCGCCTCCCTTTCCCCATTCGAACCTCTCAGATCACTTCTTGAAACTGTCAACTATTATTACTACTAATAAGTAGTGGTAGTAGTAGTGGCTTGTCGTCCGTCACTAGGCTTCGTTTTTGTGTCGGTCCTCTCACTTTCTCCCCAACCTCGCAAGCCCTTCCGCCGAGTTTCGAGGATCTTCATCAAAAGGGGCGTCACAACTTAGGGCAAACAGAACCTCTCCGATTACCTGTCTCCTTCTGAATAACGCCTGTGCTTTGCGACAGTATTAATCCTCCTCCAGGCATATACAATCACTATTGTTTGGATTATAATCAGTCTACTATCACCAAATCCGGCAATTGGAGCTTGCATTGTCAACGTTTTTACTCCGTGAGCTGGCGGCAAAACAAGGTTGAAGATAGACAACAAACTGGAAGACAGTTGTTGCAGCCTCTTCGTGCTCACAAGAACCTCGCACGACACGCCCTTACGACTCGAAATTACGTCAGAGAATAATTTGCGCTTCAATTGGGGACACCCTGTCCATCTTTTGTTCGGCCGTACTGTTGCACAGTTGCACGGTCGTGCTACTACACATCCAACATGCGGCGCGGTGTCTTGATCTTTCTCATTGTCAACCTGCTCATCATATCATTTCTTGTGCGCAGTGTCTTCACCCTACTATCCTTGCTGGTAGAAGATGCCTCGGCCGATGCAATTCGTCACGCGGAGCTTCCCTCGCCAAATTCGAGCTTAATTGAACAACGGCCGCAGATTATACCCAAGATCATTCACCAGACATACAAGAACGAGACAATCCCAGAAGTATGGCGGGAGGCTCAACAAAGCTGCAAAGATCTGCACCCTGACTATGAATACATCGTATGTGCTTCATTTCCCGCAACCGTTGCCTTGTTATACTAACGTGTCCGCCCGCATCAGCTATGGACCAACGAAAAGTCCCGCGAATTTATCAAGGATGAATATCCGTGGTTCCTCGACACATTTGACGGCTACAAGTACCCGATCCAACGGGCAGATACTATCCGATACTTTGTTCTTGCTCACTTTGGCGGTACATATATCGACCTTGATGATGTATGTGTTCCGAGCATGGTTATCAAAGTGAACTGCGAAATTCTGTTTGCTGACTCGAATGGATTCAGGGTTGCAACCGGCGATTGGATCCCCTCCTCTCCTACCCTGCTTGGGTGCGCCGTACCGTTCCAACGGGTATTTCGAACGATGCCATGGGATCCGTTCCCCAACACCCGTTTTTCCTTCGAGTCATTGAATTGCTGAAATCTTACGACCGCAGCTGGCTGCTTCCTTATATTACCGTCATGTACTCGACTGGTCCTCTCTTCCTGTCAGTGATTTGGAAGGAGTACATGCAAGATAAACCGAGTGAGGCTGCACGAGTTCGGATTCTCATGCAGGATGAATACAACAAGTACTCGTGGAGCTTCTTCACTCACCATGTCGGCAACAGCTGGCACGGTAAAGACGCCAGGTTGATTTTCTGGATGGGTCAACATTGGATGTTCCTCACTGTTCTGGGTTTCATCCTGGCCTCTGTCGTGGGATTCTGCCTCTGGTGGGTCTATGGGCGCATGATTCTCCTGAGCTCGAAATACCGCTACCGATACTCGAAACTACCGGGCCTGAGTCGCTTATCTTCCCCCACGCGTCGATCTCGAGGCATGATGCCTACGCTACTTCGCCGTGTTAGCTTTAAAGAAGACGAAGAATCTGCCCATGTTACGGAGACCTCGTTCGAACTTTACAGCCGTCGCGATTAAGGTTCTACGCCTCTTATGTGACTAAAATGTGACCGTGGTCACTTCGCAACGCATTTTGATACGACTCTTGCATCCAGAATTTCTTGTACCCACTATTCCCGATGGTCCAACGCTGCTCTGAGACACGCAGTTCTGGGCCATGTTTCTCTGCTTATTCGTGCATGTATGGAGTTTTTCTTTGGGTCACGGATTGACCGAAGCGCCTGTTTGGATCAAATGGTTGCTTGTACATGTTTTGGCAAGATGACTCGGATCTATCTGCATGCGAGGTGGTCTGCTAGGCAGCCTACCCGCATTGTATTTGGCTCTCTCAAATTCCTAATCTACTTTGCTCTTTCCGTTTCACCTTTCATTCTCCATTGTCTCCTTTACATATATTCCTTGTATTGATCTTTCACCTCCCCTTTTGGTCCCACTACCTTTCATGTCACTATAGACTTGCGCTCGTGATGGGTATACTACCCCACTACAGATATAACGTATCGGCTGCGAAGCAGACCGGAGATAGAATTTTGCTAAGCGATGATACATTCGCGATGAACAGGCCAATCAAATGACCATTGTCTTCTTTATATCAAGTCCATGGATGCCTCTGTCTTTCAAATTATCAGTCGAGGACTGACGGAGAAAAAATGCTATGCCATTGGGCTCCAGAGGATTCAGTAACGCGCAAGAGATTGTCAGTAAGCTGTTCTCCATCCTGTTTGGTCGTCAGCACCATGCAGCTTGGGAGAATACCGTGCAACATGTTTCAGCCCCGATTCTTGTGTTCCAATCAACTTTGAGTTCGGCACTGGCAGATCGCCGCTAACGCATACCAGGCGTGGACCTGTAAGAAGCATATGCTTCAGATTCGTCCAGCAACCTTTGTCTTTGCAACGCTCGACGAATCCAGAACGACAGCAGGGGTAGAATAGCGAATTTCTAAACGAAACTACCCCTTCAAATACAACTACATTGGAACATGAGACAAAGCGACTCCGCTGTTCGTTCTGTTCTATTCAGCCGCAGTCTCATCAGCCATTTCCACTCCACCCTGAAATATGTGGAATGGGCAATGAGGAATGAAGACTCTCGTCGCTCCTCTGGTGATGAATGGTGCGACTAGTGACTAATTATTTCATCAGCATTACCCGCCTTCCTTTTTAAATCATATAAAGCGTGTGTTTGAAGCCAATACTGCTCATACATCTTCAGATCTCTTTACCTGAGGACTCATACTGTCTGTTATACATTTGATTGCCAGTAGAAGTACAAATCTGCCACACCAGCGCAGCTCAAAATGAAGCCAACTCATCTCTACAATTCTCTCATCTTCCTCGTCCTCCCTACCCTGGGCTACGCGGCTCCGGCTTCTACCACCACTCAGCACCAAGCCAGAGACGTGAAGATCACAGCAGCGCAGATCGAGGCCATCGCGCCCAAGTCAAAGTCGTGCGCGGACGCACCCGCCCCGGGCGAATGTGCCACATCCGAGCAGGCTGCGGCCAACATCGCCAAGTCATTCGAGACCTACAAGGTGACGTCGGTTGCGGAGCAGGCGGCCGTGATCGGGTTGATGGCGTTTGAGAGTTTGGATTTTGAGTACAATAGGAACCATTTCCCCGGTGTTGCGGGGCAAGGAAGTATGTTTGCGCTTTTTCACTATTTGTATTCTGTGAGAAAAGGGCTGACCCTGATACCAATAGCTCGGAATATGCAATCGCCTGCCTTCAATGCCAAGTACGCTGCTTCTCTGCCGGCTCTTGCGGACAAGTTGGAGGGTGTCTCGGGCGATCCGGCGGGTGTCCTTGACTTGTTGCTATCGAACGAGGAATATGATTTTGGTTCCGGGGCTTGGTTTCTCACCACGCAGTGCTCGCAGGAAGTGCGCTCGGAGCTCCAGTCTGGTTCGCAGGCTGGATGGGAGAAGTACATCAGCAGTTGTGTGGGGACTGATGCGAATGAGGAGCGCAAGGCGTACTGGACGCGGGCCGTCCAGGCGCTGGGTGCTTAGAGTTTGGAGGAGCGACTTTGGATCTCGACTAATAGTTCCAATTGAACATCAATGCAGTGTATTTTCGAAGTTCATCTGTATCTTCGTAACTTCGTCTCTCGGGCCGCTGATATATCCGTAGTTGCCCCTCCCCCTCTCATATATCTTTACGACCCTTACAGCACTCCCTTTGTACTAACCACATCTCCCGCTCCGACTTCACCAGCCACCCTTCTGGCACAGGCAGTGCGGATAGCTACGGCCAGCGCCTTGAACGCACTCTCCGCACGGTGGTGGTCGTTATCTCCGTATGTGCAACCAACATGCAGCGTTACATCCGCAGCCTGCGCGAAGCTGTGCAGTCCATGAGTGATCATCTCGGTGCTCAGGTCTCCGATCTTCTCCCGCTTGAAGCCCAAATTGATCACAGCCCAGGGACGGCTGGAGAGGTCGATCACAGCCCAGGAGAGAGCCTCGTCGAGCGGAGCATCGCCGCGTCCAAATCGTGCAAGAGATTGCCGGGCGCCTAGGGCTTTGGTGAAGGCAGTACCGAGCGCAAGGAAGGTATCTTCGGTGGTGTGGTGATCGTCAACTGTACAACACATTAGCCACGAGATAGTGCTAGGGGGCGAGACTGAAGCACATACTGTACAGATCTCCCTTGGCTCTGATGGCTAAGCTCCACCCGGAGTGTTTGGCCAGAGCATGCAGCATATGATCCAGAAATCCGATCCCGGTGCTCACGGTGATTTGCTGGGTCGGTGTGAATTGGGTCGCATGGGCGGCATTCTTGGGAGGAACGATGCCGTGCTTGGCTGCCTCTGCCTCCTTCGGGTCTTCAGGAGCAGGGAAATGCTCCGACGGTTCGTATGGAGGGAGCACGCCGCCGTCCAGAGAGAGAGAGACCTGGATCTTGGTCTCGTTGGTCACCCGCGAGACGGTCGCTGTTCGTGCGGGGAGAGGCATTGTGTGGATGTAGGGCGGCAGGTTCAGTAATTGAAGGGGTGTGTTTCTAAGATTCAGTAATCAAACAGTTCGCGTGCAATTGAATCCTGATTCAGACTGTCTCAGCAGTATCTCGACTCAAGGACTGGGTAGTAATCAAGGTCTGGTTCAGTGTCACTTTTTTTAGCGGAACATGTCCCGCGTTTCAGTGTTACCGGAAATGGACAATCACTTAATCCGACTGTATAGCTGCGTCATTCGCAAGTGTTATCGAATGATAACAGCTGCAAATGTCATCTCAGCTTCATGTCGACAATTGTTCCTGTTCTTCTGGACTTTTTTTTCAGTCCATAACATCTATATAATCTTGGCATATCATCAGATCCCTCCAGCATGCCTACAGTGAGTCAAAAAGGGGATATCGACCCTCCAGACGAGGTCACATCGGAGGCTGTTCGAGGGTTCCTCACTGGAGCGTTTCGGGTGGGTGATCATCATAATCCTTGTTATTTCCAGATGAGTTCCATATCGGGTTCATGGGGTGAATACTCAGACCTCGCTCAAGCGATCTGTACCAATTACTTGGGCCGGTTTAGGAGTATGTGCTGGCGAAATGAGTGCAACATGCTAACGCACAGCTCTTGATTGGTAGTTTGGCTCCGTGTCCATCCTTGCACATATGATCCTCATGCTTCCTCATCCTTTCAAGTTCTCTCCACCAGCAGCAACTCCGTCACATCCACCGGCGTCGCCGTCATCAAGTCGTCCGAGGACATTGCGTTTTTCCAAGGACCATCTACGGTCCAAATTCATCTACGGCCCCCTTGAGGGGTTTTCTGAGTGGCTGTCTCCGACGGCCCGGGTCTACCGGGGATTGACTCCGCAATTTAAGGTCTTCCTACAGATTGCGGCAATGACTCTGGGGGGATGCATCTGGGCCGAGCGGAGAGTGAACGAATATATCGATTTCATGCGGAAGGTAAAACGAGCCGAACGACTGCAGGCACAGAGGGTAGCGCGATTCTCGGAATCGGAGTAGACGGGTTTTGCATGAGTTTGAAATTTCATCAAAGGTCTCCGCTCATCGAAGGCATCCACCAGCCGAAAACACAGGGCAGTGTCGATGTGTGGCATTGCATCGTGTCGAGCCGAGACAATGACCAGAACGATACTTATGGTCTGCCTCATAACTACATGGCTCAACTGGCCGATGCGCTATTTTCGTCATCGTTCTCTCCTCGCCACGGTACTGGCTCTCTGTGCGGGGATGAATCTGAAACCCTGTGATCTCCGTGACGACGGCTCGACTAAGTCCTGTAGATCCTCAGCTATCCGATTGCGTAGATCAGTAATAGGACTCCGTCATTCATCAAGAATGCAAGCTGTGCTGCACCATAGACTTCAAGCTGATCGCAGGACGAAAAGGGCCATGATCCGAAAAGATCTGTAACATGACATCAAGGGTAAGTCACTCGATCCAAATGGCTTTTCTTGGCCTTTGTATTACGAATACTATGGCGGTTAGCCCTAAGCCAAAGTCACTTGCAGCCTTACTTTGCTGGTGTGCGCGGCTATTCTTAGTTTCTCGAAGGTTTCCCGGGCTTGTGGCTCAGTAAAATAGGCTTCAAAAGGCTCCGCATGAGTGAGGCAGTGAGTACCTTTCAGGCTTCTCAGCTAGGATCGGAGTTAGAACCATGAAGGAGGCAGGAGCCATTCTGAGTTCCACATAGTCGAAGTGATATTTGGCTGGCCTTGGGTGGTAAGATGGAGACCGCAGAAGACTTGGAGCTGGGCTGTGTACCCTTTTCTCGTAGTGGCATACCTCTCTCTCTATGAATTGAGTAATCCACACGATGACGATCCGAGATCTGGTGGAGCTTGCGTTGCGCTAGTTGAAAGCTGTATTTAGCTGTTACAGTGTAGATGTTCCGTGCTTCGGAGGCGTTCCTCGTCTCCTGAAACCGACCATGAACTAAAGGAAGTTATCTTGAACTGTTGTTGTACGGATGGGAGAGTCGTCTGTTCGTTTATTTTGTCTACAACTGGTGTCTCGGGTCCGTCACGCTTTTGTAAATGAAGG